ACTGTTCTCTACTTATTTTTTTTTTGTTTGTTTCATCTTTACCTCCACTTTTTTATTGGTTTTTTTATTTTTATTTTTGCTCTTGTCTTAATCTGAGAATCTTACACAGTGTTGAACAAAAAATACCCAATAAATTCTTTTTGATTAATTAAAAAGATTCCACTCTGGCTGCCGTTTGTACTCTGAAGGAAGAAGCAAGAAAGAAAAACTAAAAGGAGAGGGAAGAAGAAGGAACAAGAAAAACAGGGGTTCTAGAAGACAGGGGAAAGGAAGAAGAGGCACAGGAATGGGAAAGAAACCCAACAAATCAGCTTTTATTGTGAAGACTTAATCACAGCTTGTAACATATTGTCAGTCTGTTAAAGTGGAAGTTGACAGGGAATTGGCAGAAACAGGGAAGTGGACACAGGCCAATTTCAACTCTTTTGTTAAATCTTTCCACTGCCTCGCCTTATTTGCAGCTGCCTCAGTCTCAAAGCCAGGCAGGTTCTGATTCTTTCCTCATGCAAATATTGATTTATTAACAGACCAATTTATACATAGCTGGAAGGTAATTATCTGTGGACTTCAAACCAGATGAGCCTTCCTTGATCACCTGTTTCTTTTTAAATAAATCAAAATTTACTGGGGTATGCCCATAAGTTTCACTGGTAGAACATTAAATCTCTATATCTTTTGTACAATCATAACAGAATCAACTTCTGCCATTCCTGTCTAGAAACCAACTCACTTTTTCCCCCTTATTAATATTTTAAAATTTATTGTACTTATATTGTTCTTTTGGGGGGAGTAATTTTTTTTAATTACAGTGAAATACACAGAACATAACATTTACTACCTTGGCCATTTTTAGGTGTACAGTTCAGTATGTTAAGTACATTCACATTGTTCTGTAGGCATCACCACCATCCATCTTAGAAAATTAAAACTCTGTACCCATAAACAATATTCCCCATGCCCTCCTCCTCTGAGCCCTTGGCAACTACCATTCTACTTTCTGTCACTGTGAACAGAAATTAACTCACCTTTAAACCACTCACTGGAGTCTTTCTTGTTATGAGGCAGGTAGATCTGGTTATTCACTGTTGTTTCCCAGCATCTAGCATAGTGTCTGGTACATGTCATGGGTTCAATAAATGTTTTAATATTGACTGATTGTGTGAATGGATAATGGTTCCAACCTCTGGTCCACCTTCAGGAGACCTTAAGTCAAAGACACAGACATATAGGAAATACAGAGTGGATGAAAAGAGAATATCGAGAAGGAAGTGTACCAGAGTTTTGCAGCTCTGTTTATCTCCACCCACAAGGTATTTCACGAATATAAATTGAATGCCTTCTACACAATGGAAAGTATGTTAAACCCTCAGGGACAAAGGTGAAGGCATAGACTCTGCCTCCAATGTGTATTTTCCCATTATCACATCATAGCAGTTACCACTCTGGTGTAACTGTCTATATATCTGTCTTCCCCTGGAGACGGTAAGCTCTGTGAGGACACTGTCCATCACGTAGTAAGCACTCAATAAATAGTTGGTAAATCATTTTTATCATCTAAAGGAGATGGTAGCCTACTGGGGGAAACAGACACCCAGTCAAATAAAGTCAGGATCCTTGTTGTAAGGAAGAAGAGCTGCTGGCTCTTGCTGATGCAGCAGAAAAGTAGTATATTGAAGTACTGTGTAGCTATCAGGGTTGTTGGAAGGTGTGGAGATTCAAGACTGAGGCTAAGCCTCCAAAAATAATGCACAGAACCACTGCAGAGCTAGCCCAATGAGGAAACTGTCTCCATCGCAGCTCTCCACCAATGCCACTTTGGCATCAGAAACTAAAGCTTGCAACCACTAAGAAAGAGCTGTTGCTGCTAGTGCTGCCAACAAAGGCAGCCACCTCTGCTGGTATTCATACCAGTAAAACCAGAAGTTCCATGCAGAGCCTATTGCCTCTGGTTGTTCATACCTGAATTTAAGTTTCATGTGGTTGAGCCTGATTAGTAGAACCTAGGTAACATTCTTGAGTCCAATTACAAGGGAGGCTGGGAATTTGAGTTTTAAATAAAGGAAAGTAATTCATATGACAAGTGTTCACTGAATTGTAGCAATATGTGATAGGAGCTAGACTGAAAATATACATTCAGTCTTGTTCTCATGGAACTTATATCAAACAATAAACATTTATATAAATAAGCATAATGATGAATAGTACTAGATACTACAAAGACAAGTAAAGCTGTGAACTAGAGTGTTCAGGAAAGGCTTTTCTGAGATGAGCAGGAAGTGCAAAGGATGAGAACTGGCTTGGCATTTCCAAAGCTCTCAAGGAGGCTGGAGCTAAGTGAGTGAAGGGGGAGAGAGGATAGAAAATGAGGTGGGAAGGGCAGCCAAGGACCATGTCACGTAGGGCTTGCAGGCCACGGTTTTGAACTCTGTAAGGTGGTAAGGGAATGGCATAATCTGACTTATATTCTAAAAGGATCACACTGGCTGCTGAGTGGAGAACACGGAAGGATGGTAGAAGAGGGGAGAACACGCTGATCAAAGTATGAACAGAGAGATCAGAGCACTCAAATCTGCCCAGATAGTTTGGGGAGAAGGTGAGATATGAAGAAAATATTGAGAGATGAGTGGAGAAAAGGTCAGAAGGCATCTTGGGCAAAGGGAAGAACAGGAACAAAAAACACAGCGGCCCGGGAGGCCCTGGTATGTTTGGAGAACTTTGAGTGGTCTGTTGAGGTTACAGATTGGGATCCAGACACAAGACTGGGGAAGAAGGGAGACCTAAGCTGCCCAGGGCTGCCCGTGCTGTATTTTTAACCTTTCATGTCACCAAAGAGTTTCTAAGAGGGCAGTACAAGGTTCCTTGCTTTCTCCTCTCCTCAGACTAGAGAAAACATAGCCAACCCACAGTACTGAGCAGTTATCGTCAAAGCAAAGTTGGGCAAACCCACCTACACCTTGGCATAGGAATCGGACAGAGGAGTAGATCTGAGGGTGTCTCCATCAAGGTCAGTCCCAAGAAAAATTGTCAAGAATACATCTTGTCTTCCATACTGTCTTAGTCTGTTGCTGCTGCTGTAACAAAATACCTTAGACTGGGTAATTTATCAACAACAGAAATTTATTTGACACAGATCTGGAAGCTGGGAAGTCCATAATCAAGGCACCAACAGATTCTGTGTCTGGTGAGGGCTCTTGGCTGCATAGATGGCCCCTTCCTACTGTGACCTCACATGGCAGAAGGGACTACCAAGCTCCCTCTGACCTCTTTCACAAGGGCAACAGTCCCACTCATGAGGGTGGAACCCTCTTCACCTAATCACCTCCCAAAGGCCCCATCTCTTAATACCATCACCTTGGGGATTCGGTTTCAACTATAAATTTTGGAGGGGCACATTCAGACCATAATACTTTTCCATTTCGCTTCTGGCGGCACCTTTTATTTCAACCCAGATTCCCAGGGTAAATGTACACTGAGCCTTTAAGTAAGTGTCAGCCGTGGGTTAGTGAAGAGGATGAAGGAGGGCATTTCAGAAAGAAAGAACAATGTATACAAATACCAGGAACCAGAAAGCATCCTTGTCCACGGGCAGCAGAACCAAGGCTAGAAAGATAGGTTGAGCCTGGATTGTGAAACGCTTGGATAATGGTGTAGGTAGTCAACAGTAACAGTTTATTCCTAAACCAGATCCCCCAATTAAATAGAGTAACCAAAGCCTGTATGTGCAATGCTTGCTTTTTGCCCATGGTAGATGCTGGGAAGTATTTGCAGGTTGGCTGATTGAATGCACAGATGGAAGTCTTTGTAAATTTAGGACAGATTGCCCCAGTTAATCTCTACGATGGGTCATGTCCATATTGACAGATTTGCCTGAGATGAGAAAGTAATACCTCTCCTAACATAGTTTTGGAAATTTAAATGCATTGTGGCCTTTAGGCCATGAAATCTGGGTCAGGTGCCAAAGATCTGCAACATTTAGAGTTTAGAGCGTTGCAAGTGGGGTTCACTGTGACTTTAAAGACCTGGATCTTTCTGTCTTCCACCTCAGCTGAGGGTTCCCACCCAAACCAGGATTCAATCTTTATTATTCTCCTGCATCAGCTACAGGGTCGCTACGTGTCACTTCAGAGTTCCGAAGGGAATCAAAATGCAGACTTTAGCAGCCAGCATTGCAAGTCAAGACAAGTGAGTAGCATTGGCTCCACAGGCTTAAGAGGAACTTAGGCAAAAACTATTTAATACAGGCTATTCCACCCGAACTGGGACGGCAGACACCGAGGAAAGATTCGTCAGGCGTATGAGCTCTAGGCTAGGGTGGCTGTACTTGGCTGTGAGCAGCTACCAACTCCTCCGCGCGCCCCCACCCTCCCATTCCACTAATCTCTTTCGCCAGGGAATGTGTATCCAGAGATACAGCGAACCCGTGGAGAAGATGAGGCACAACGGGGGTATGGAGATCGTGAGTGTTTTATACGTGAACTTAAGCGACGAATCTGTCGAGCTGTTTACTCCCCCTTCCCCCTTAGGCTGGGTCAGGCTAGGGCAAAGCCCGACGGCCCGGGACTGCTCAGGGGACATCCATCCACTCAAGCTGCTCTCCTTGACCTCCCTCCTCTGCCGTCCCCACCGGCAACTTCCCCCTCTCACGCTGAGCCACAGGCACCCTGTAACCCCACCCGAAAACTTCAAAGACTTCCTTCCGGGCCCAGCGAAGCCCGGCGCGCTCAGTTTTCGGAGAGGCGGCGGCACTCGCTTTCATCTCCGACAACAAAACTGCCATTTCCGAAAAGAAGGGAAACAGCTCGCGGGTCTTTGGGTTCCCAGGCGGATGCGCCGGGAGGAGGGTTACCACGCCCACAACCGCAAGCCCCGCGCTCGCCCCGCCCCCTTCCCGCCCGCCGCCCCTGCTCTGCGCCCTACGCCCCCTCCAGGCCCGGCTCCCGCGCCCTATTTGGTCATTCGGGGGTAGGCGGCAGGAGGGGAGACGTACGCGGCGGAAAGGCACGCGGACACGCAAGAGGGGCCGCTCTCGTCGCCGCCGCCGCCACCTCGTTTGGGGACCCACGAGGCCGCTGCCTCCTGCCCGCGGAACAATGGGGCTCGGCGCGCGAGGTGCCTGGGCCGCGCTGCTCCTGGGGGCGCTGCAGGTGCTAGCGCAGCTGGGGGCAGCCGCGAACGGCACAGCCCCAGCCGGTAAGTGTCTGCGGGGGTCGCCGGCCCCGGTCCGGAGAGGAAGCCCGCGGCCAGGGCGTGGGTTTCCAAGTTAGAATCTCCTTGGAAAAGTTTGAGTGTTAACGCATGCCGATCCGGAGGATACCAGGCGGGGCGGGGAAAAACTGAGGCTTGGACCGGTCTCGCACTTGCCCCGGGGTCGCCTCTTGAAAAAATTGCCCGCCTCTTCTCAGTTTTTTGGAAGCGGCGGTCGCAGGTCGCAGGCGTATGTAACCTGTTGAGTTACCCGAGGGACGGGCCTTCAGCGCAGGGCTCAAGTTCGTTTTTATGCTTTTCCCTGAAGTTAATGTTTCTTGTAGGTTACAGGTTATCGAAGGCTTCTGTTTGTAAACAAGATTAGGTAGGTTGAAAAATATGTCTACCGCTTCCTGCGGAAACATGTCTACCAGTTGGGGCACCTTTCAGGCGACTCCCCCGGCGTTTGGGGCTTCATCGTCGACCGTGTAATACTATCCAAGTGATTTAGTCTTAAGGCCCCCCAGACGCTTAAAAGTTAGACTGAGGGGCTACTGTCGCGAGTTGGGAGCTGTGGGGAAGTGCACCTTGCTCTTCCGGCGCAGGTGAGGCTTATGCTCCTGTGGAGGGGGCTCTGCACCCCTCGTGTGCCATGAACACCAGGCCTGCGCGCGTCAGGTGCGCAGGAGCCCACGGCGTCGTCCATGAGGGCGCAACAAAATGATGTTGACATTTCTCCTCTGTGTAGGACGGAGTTTGTTCCTCTTTAGGCCCTTGGCCCTTTAGAGACTTTAAAAAGTCCTCTTCGGATGAGGCCAGGAAGCTGGGATTTGCTGTGTTAATTGTTCTCCTTTGTCAACTACAAGTCGAGTCACTGGGTAATGGTTAAGTCAACTAGGATAAGTTAAGTTACCCAGGTTTTTCATGGTTTTAAATACCATCCATCTGCTGTATATTTAGCCTTAGATTAGTTTTATCTAGCAAGAGATTAAAGAAGGCATTTTGCAAAACCAGATGGTTCGGGCACAGCACCTGCTTTTGCTAGAATAATCTGGGTGAATTAAACAACAGTTTGTTTTGCTGAGGTTTTTTTGTTTGCTAAGTTGAGCAGTTGACAAACTGTCTTTGCAGATCTAATTTTGAAATCATTTAAGAAAAGAATGATCAGTGAAATTATGTTCGTCATATATCTTGGTGCCAGTTTTATACCAATATTTAAATTTGTTGCTTTACGTGTGAAAGTAAACCTTTTTACTGTTTCTCTAATGAGTTGTTGATTAGAGAAATATGGTGGGTGTCCTTGCTTTTCTTTCTTTTGCCCTCATAACACAGATTTTTTTCTTTGTCCTATTTTAACACTCACTGTTTGTTCTGTTTATTATTTAATGTCTCACTAGAGGTTAGTGCTATTTGGAAACTTGCAATGTTCTACCATAGGAGAGCCTTGATTTCTTGAACTAGTATAACCAACGTGAGGTGGAATTCATTTCTACAGACTATAATGTCACCTTGAAACTAGACTGAAAGAAGATTCAATAGAAGATTTCTCAAAAAAACTCAAGTAACTTGTCCTAGTCTTCATATCCAGTACACACACACACACACACACACACACACACACTGTATAAAGTGTCATCTTAAGTATGGTGATTTTTTTTTTCCTTTTTGTCTTTTTTCGTGTCCGGCAATGGATCGCAACCCTCAGTGTTGCACCCGTACCGGACTGGGACCGGCAACGGGATCGCAACCCTCGGCGCTGCGCCCGCACCTTGCTCAGCCAGTGAGCGGGAACTGGTCTGTATGTGGGATCTGAACCCTCAGCGGGAGCCGCCGCACTCCCAAGCGGCGCACTGTAGCAGTGCGCCACCGGGCCGGCCCAAGTATGGTGATTTTTAACAATCATACTAAAACTTATATAGCTAGTTTTTACTGGGCACATTTCTTATGCACCCCACACTACGCTAATTGAGGTCCATAAATCATCCCATTAGGTCCTCACAGTGATTATCCCCATTTTATAGATGAGTAAGCAGAGGCTTAGAAGTAAGCTAACTTATTCAAAGTAAAGCAACTAATAGGTTTGAACTAATATGTTTGACTTCAGATCACAGTCCAAACTCTCAGTTAACTATTTGACTATGAAGTCATATTAGGTGATGCTGGCTCTTAAAGTAGGTAATGCTTTTATTTCACAATACTGCCATTGCCTAGAATATTATGGGAGAAGATAAAAACATTACTGAAATTCTGCTTTTAAAATATTCTTCACAGTCTGCTGCATAGTTTTATAAATATCCTCAGTTGAAGGAAAGAGGAGACTTGCCTAACTTGATTAGGCAAGTTAGCTAATCAGCAAACAGGATATATTGTGGTAGTCTAATGAAAGATATTAGCGAAATGGGAGGGGTGGCTATTAGACATTATGCTTGGTGGCAAGAGACAGGAGCCCACCTTGAGCAACCTTAGGGCAAAGAAGGGACTTTATGGACTCTTGTAACTAAAAAGTCCAAAGATTGAGGTGACTTAGAAATGGCTGTGTACAAGGGTTCAAATAGGTTGCAAAGAAATCAAGAAATTATCTCAGAAGAGTGACAAGAGCAGAGAGACAAAAATAAGAGGCTTTTGAAGTAATTCAGGAAAGATGGAGATAAGTGGGTAGATTCTAGATGTCTCTGAGGGGTGAGACTGATCACTTGCTAATGAATTCAGTGGTGTGAAGTAAAGGGAGGAATGAAAGGATGACCTATTGGTTTGGGGATTGGGCAACTGGTAATGCAACAACTGGGAGGATTGGGGGTGGAGCAGGTTTATAGTAGAAAGTCAACAGTATTGTTTTGGCACTCATCTACGGGCTTTGGAATCAAATAGCATGGTTCAAATCCAGACTCTGCCAATTACTAGCTGAATGTCCCTCTCTGGGCCCCAGTTCCTGTCATTCCAACACAGTACACCAGTCTCAATTGTTGGTAGTGTTAGATGAACTAATGCAGATGACATGCACAAGGCCTGACATGTAGTAAGCCCTTCATAATGTTGGCAGTTATTTGATATCTGCTGCTAAATACATCAGTATAGTCTACTGACCTTGATCTTTTTCAAGATTAATCTTACACCATATCCTTTTGCAATAAGTTAATTATAATCCCTGTACTAGTCCATTTCTGTTGATTTTAACAGAAATACCTGAAACTGGGTGAAAAAAACAAACAAAACCGAAAAACAATATTCATTGCTTACTGTTTCAGAGGCTGAGAAGTCCGAAGTCCAGGGAATACCTCTGATGAGTGCCTTGTTGGTGGTGACTCTACACAGCGATGCAGGGTGTCATGTAGTGATAATGGCTAAGCAGGAGAGACTAACTCCTTCCTTGCTGTCTTTAAAAAGCCATCATAACCATGCCCATGACCATCATTAAGCCATCAATGAATTAGTACATTAGTTAGGGTATGGTGCTCACAATCTAATCACCTCTTAAAAGCCCCACCTTTCAATCACCATGATAGGATTTCCCACCCTCAACACTGTTACAGTGGGGATTAAATTTCAGTGAGCTTTGGGGGGACATTCAATCCCCTAATCCCCAAAACTCATGTTCTTTTCACATACAAATACATTCATTTAATCCCCATAGCCCCAAAGTCTTAACGTGCCCCAGCACCAACTCAGAAAGTCCAAAGTCTCATCTGTGAAATTAAACAAATTATCTACTGCCAAGATACAGTGGTGGGATAAGTGTAAGACAGAAATTCTCATTCCAAGATGGAGAAATGAGCTAAAAGGAAGGAGTAACAGGTCCTAAGCAAGTCCAAAACCCAACAGGGCAGGCATTAAATCTTCAAGCTGGAGAATCAGGTACCTTGACTCCATATTTGGTATCATCTGCACTCTGGTGTGGGGATTGGGTCCCAAGTCCCTTGGGCAGCCCCATTCATGGGCTTTCCTGGTCTCTGGCCATGCATTAGCTCTCCCAGGCTGTCTTTGCACGCTTGTAGCTCTACAGTTCTGGGGTCTCCATGACAGTCCCACTCTCAAGGTTCCACTAGACAGGGCCCTGTGGGGATTCTGTGCTACAACTCCAATACCATGTTTTCTCTTGGCATTGCTGTAGTGCAGGTGTACTATGTGGTGACTCTGCCCCTTTGACACATCTCTTCCTGGGCCCCCACACTTTTCCATACATCCTTTGAAATCTGGGTGGTACAGCTCTGGCATTTTGGGAGCTTGCAGACTTAATACCACATGGATGCTGCCAAGGCTTCCAGCTTGTATCTTCTGAGGCTGCAAGTCCAGCCACACTTGGGACCAATTTAGCTACAGCTGGGGCAGCTGGAGCAGCCTCCTGAGGCAGCCCTGGGCAGGGAGACTCTGGAGGGTACCTAGGACCTATTGCCTGAAACCATTTTTTCTTCGGAGGCTTCTTGGTCCATGATGGGAGGGGCAGCCTGGAAGTTCCCCAAAATGCCTCCAAGGTCTTCGTCCATTCTCTTGATAATCCCTTTCCTCTGTATTCTTCACCTTAAAAGAGGGTTGCTGGGCTACACCCTTGGTTTCTTCTCTCAAACAGACTTTCTCATTCTTTATGTGGCCAGGCTAGGAGCTTTCCAATTTTTTACTCTCCGGTTTCTTTTTAATTATAAATTTTGGCTTTGCCTCATGCCTTTGCTGCCTAAACTCAACATAAGCTGTTACAAGTAGCCATGGAGCTTCCTGAATGCTTTGCTGCCTAGACAGTTCTTCCACTAAATACCCTGGTTCAGCACTTTAAGTTCCACATTCCATGAAATTTGGGGGCATGAACAGAAGCAGCCAGGTTCTTTGCAACTCTATAACAAGGATGTCTCTTGCTCCGGTTTCCAATAAGCTTTTCCTCTTTTACATCTGAGACCTAAGAATGGCCTTTACTGTCCATGTGGGCATTCTGGTCACCACCATTTAACCAGTTTCTAAGATGTTCCTTTTCCTGGCTTTCTTGTCTTCTAAACCCTCACCAGAATGTAGGCTTTCTCTAGCTCGCTCCTCCAAATTATTCCAGCCTCTGCCCAGTAGCCAATTCCAAAGCCACTTCCACATTTTCAGGTATTGTTATAAGCAACACTGCACTTCTCCGGTACCAATTTTCTGTATTAGTCCATTTCTGTTGCTTATAACAGAGGTACTTAAAACTCAGTGTTGTGGGTAAATGTGTCCCCCAAAATTCCGTGTATTAGAAACTTAGTCCTCACTGTGACAGTGTTAACAGGATGGGAAATCCTATTATGGTATTTGAATTGTGTGGGGCCTTTGAGAGGTGATTAGATTGTGAACACTGTACCCTTGTGAATGGATTAATCCATTGATGGTTTAATGGGTAGTCATAGGTGTGGTTCTGATGGCTTTAAAAGGAGAGCAAGTGAGGAGTTAGCTGTCTCTCTTGGTCAGCCATTCACTATATGATACCCTGCATTGCTGTAGATTCACCACCAAGAACAAGACCCTCACCAAATGTGTTCCCTGGACTTTGGACTTCCCAGCCTCCTAAACTGTAAGGAATAAATTTTCTTTCTTTATAAATTACCCAGTTTCAAGTATTCTATTATTAGCAACAGAAACGGACTCATACACTGGTTAATTTGTAAAGAAGCAATATTTATTGTTTACAGTTTCTGGGCAGTCCAAAGTCTAGGGAGCACATCTGGCAAGGGCCTTGATCTTGTTGGTGGTGACTCTACAGCAACACAGGGTATCACATGGAGAGAGTGGCGGAAGCAAGAGGAAGAGAGCTTCTTAGGCGCTCTCTTTATAAAGACATCATAGCCACGCCCATGACTACCATTAAACCATCATTAGATTAATACATTCTCTAGGGCATGGTCCCTCACAACCTAATCTCTTCTTAAAGGCCTCACCTTTCAATTACCGTAATAGAATTTCCCACCCTCAACACTATCATAGCAGGGATTAAGTTTCAGTGAGCTTTGCGGAGACATTCAATTCATTCATTCATACTGCTTGTGCAAACCTCTTCTATCAAGAGGAAGAGATTTGCACAAGCAGTAAAGATAGATCCTTCAAAGTTGTTACTGCTTTTCTTTGTACTTTGAGGGTTTTTTTTTTTAAGTGGTGGAGGGTTCGTTTTTGTGAAAAGTACACAGTAATACACTTGCTCTCTTCCTGTGCGGTATATGTATTTAATCTTCATTGTACAGAGGCTCAAGGTGATTAAACCTCTCTGAAAAGTTGCTTAACTGGGGCACAGAATTCTCTTAAATTTTTCCCAAATCTTAAGGAACTAGTTAAAAAATAAAAAGAATCATACTGAGAACATTTGCAATTAAATATGAAAATCGTGCTCTATTTATCTCTCTATTGTATAGAGTTAGGGATATTAATGATGCAACACCTAGAGACACCCATGAGTAGAAAGGGCCCCTCCTGAGCTGGTATACTCCATTCAGAAAAGCAGAGTTATCAGTAGCAGAAATTGGTTCATCACCACTTGCTCTGTCTTCATGTGGGTGAATGAACTTTGGCAAAGCTATTGCATTCAGTGGCCGGCACATAGCAAGTACTATGTAGGTGTTTGTTACATAAGCTAGATGTTTTCTGTCTTTAAAGATCCAATAATACAGCTTCAAGGTGTGTTTCATAGCAACATGGGGCAAAAGTAGAACTTCTTATGGAATAATCTACTTTCCTCCACACCACCCCTTGTGGGCAGAAAGGAACATATTGCCAGTGTTCACTTAGTTAAATATTAAATATTCTTTTATAACAGGATATTTCTTTATTTTTACAGGATCTTCAAACCCAGGCAATTCTGTGCCTCCACCAAATTCCGGTGTTAACTCAACAGGTGAGTTGTTTTTTTAAAAGTTTCAAGAAGTGGATTTTCATCTGTCTAGGATACATAAAGTAATAACAGCCAGGGAAGTATGTGTAAGCTGGTACCCTGACCTGTCTTAACCTTGAGTTATTGATCCCTGAATTTCTGTAGCCTACCCTGAAGGGCTGCCCATGGTAGGCATCAATAAATGCTAGTTCACTGGATTAGTCGTCTTTTTCAGTCTAGCAAAGATGTGAATAAATTCTGAAACAAAAAGCATTTTGGAATTCCATACTATGAATTTTGAAGCACATATTTAGATATGAAGGTTTTGTGGTTTGCTTGTAGATATGAAATATGTAAGTCTGTAGGTCTTGTTGATGAAACAATTCACTCTAAGGTGATAGCAGCCTTAATATGCCTTGGCTGACTCTGAGGAGACACTACTTACATTCAGCTATCAGTCAGTCTTCAACTCACCCTGTCTTGCTCTTAAAACAATTGGTGGTACATGGGACAAATGTATTCCTTCCCTGAGACTCTGAGATTACTAGCTCGGAAAGATACAGTGATCACGCTGAGGTTATCAATATCAGTAGTAAACCATCAAAGCATGTTTCTTGTAAGCAATATTTAGGTTATCTTCACACTTCCCTATTCTTAAGAGTAGACTGAAGTGGAAACTAGAAAAAGGTATACACATTCTATCACTAATTATTTTCTCTACTTTTATTCAGTGAATGTTTATTGAGTGTCTCTAATGTGCTGACACGTTCTAGGTGCCAAGGATACAAAATGGACCAAGCCCTGCCTTCTTGCAGTTTTTGTTTGTTTGGTTTTTCTTTTGTATTATTGTAAAATGTATATAACAAAATTTATGATTGTAACCAATGTTTAGTATAGTTCACTGGCGTTTAAATACATTGAAATTTTATGCAACTCCATGGAGCTTTATTCTTGTGGGATCTCAGTGCTCCACTTAGTTCATGTTCTCAGTTTACCTGTGCTTTCTTTTCATTATCTCTGCCTTTCTTACGGGTGGCTGGTAGTGCGTAGTTACGGTATTCTTTTATTCTAGTTTTAGTAATACTACAAAAAAAGTTACATTGGGGGATTAAAAGACGGGGTAGATTAACCCACAATGTAATAGTGGCTATCAGTGGGTGGTTGTGGAAGGGTCTTTTTTTTAAAAAAAATATTTTGTTAGACTCTTAGGTGTCCTTTCTTAACGGCCTTTACTGACTGGTTCTACACTACTCAACTCTTAACTTTAGATAAACCAAGGAGGTAGAAAAATGGTGAAGATAATGGTAATAGTGCTAACAGTAGTCACCATTTATTGAATGCCTACAACTTACAAGATGCTTCTCATACATTTGAGAATCTTAACAGTGGAGAGGTAGGTATTGTCGCTGTTTTACACATGGGGAAATTAAAACTCAGAGTGGTTAAGAAAAGTCCGAGATCACATGGTAGTAGTTGCCACATTCAGGATTTGAAACCCAGTTGGATTTAAAAACCTGTACTCCTTCATTATACTTCTTGAAACTGTGGTGTGGCCTTACCTTTAAAAAATGCTTTTCGGGCCGGCCCGGTGGCGCACTGGATAGTGCGCCGCTTGGGAAGCACAGCGGCGCTCCCGCCCGAGGGTTCGGATCCCACATACAGACCGGTTCCCGCTCACTGGCTGAGCGAGGCGCAGGAGCAACACCGAGGGTTGCAATCCCGTTGCCGGTCCCCGGTCCGGTACGGGGGCAACACTGAGGGTTGCGATCCGTTGCCGGACACGGAAAAAGACAAAATAAATAAATAAATAAAAAATAAATAAAAAATGCTTTTCACTAAAGAAATACCCCACTGAGGTCAGCTGTAAATGGTTATTAAAAATCAACTCGATACTTTCAGGACAGCTCCAGAATCAGTGATAATTTTAAATGACGCTTCTAGCACAGGGAAATTTATTGAGGGAAAAAAAGCACTGCCTCAAATTATTTTGGAAAGAGAGCAGATATTACAACTATTAAAGGAATGTTTTTGGTCACTGTGTAACACTTCTCATAACTGTTATGTTCCTCTTACATCTCTTTTAGTCTTGAAAACCCTTGTGAAACATGTTGAATTTGTATATATAGGTCATGGTGCTTAATTTTTTCTCTTTTGTAGTTAACATAGACGTAATTGTTGAAACGTTGTTTTGAGCATATTGTTTATTTGCTTATTTGGGGCCCATCCCAATAGGAAAATAGCATCTTTTTTGGTAAACTCCATTATGATGTATATTCAAAGAATGTATTGTTGGAAAAAGTAGCAACTTCTTGCAGTACTACTTAGAATACCAGGTATCCATCGCTTTTATAGGACTCACCACATTGGATTCAGTGAATCTTTTTTCTCTTGTTTGTTTGTTTTGGTCTCTATAATATAAGTTCCTTGAAAGTGGGATCTACGATTTATTCATCCTACCACCTAACACTATGCCTGGTACATGGTAGGTATGCAAAATATGTATATTTTTTGTTAATTGAAATGAATTGTGGAACTAAATACATATTTTGTAATTGCTAACTTGCCTTATCAAAGCACATTTTGCAGACGTATACTGGTCTATGCTTTATTCTAGCTGCTTTATCTTTGTTTATAGAGTAATATACTTGCTTGAAGTCAAAGAAACAGGAATGGAAGTTACTTTTCAATTGTACTGTTGAATTATTTGTGACAGTTCTGTTTTTTTTAATGTGTGCTAATTATTTAGGACAGCCTAATCTTTTTTTGACATTCTTGTCTGTAGGGACTTGTTTGGCATACTTTCAGCTTATAGAGAAAATAATTTCCCTCTATTTCATGTATAGTCAGAAGATTCATATTTTAGGGTTTGTGGATGAATGAATTTACTCTTTATGGCACAAGAAAGTCATATGCCCAGATGGTTTTTCATAACAGGGGTCTGGGCAAGGGTACAAGGAATTGTGACATGGTCCAGAATGAAGAACAGGTCTCATCAGTAGTAACCAGAAAACAGTTCAGTACCATTCAGCATATAGCCTTCTGTGTGATCACCTAGCATTGATGCTTCCCAAAAAAGAGGAATCTGAGAGGGTCAGATTACCACCATTCAGTTCGAAGCTCTTTTCTTGGACAAAATTTGCACCAAGCCAGTTCCGAAGCAGTGGATCTCCTAAACATGTACAGGGTACTTCAAAAAGTTCATAGAAAAATAGAATTAAAAGATAACATGAATCTTTCCATGAACTTTTTGAAGACCCCCTCATATGTTCCATGCATTCATGATTGCCTTTGGCTTGGTGAGCCATCCTTGGCCCAATCACTTGAGGTGATGTAGTAGGCTTGGTTTCATCCACAGATATGGCAGGGTCATTAGCAATTTTGAGCAGGTGGATCTGGCTTGGCTCAGATTTCTGCAGAAGTGGACAGTGAAAATTTGGGAGGAACATCTCAGAGAATTCTGTATTCTAATTTTTACCCTCAACTGAAACACTGAAAGTCTTATTGAAGTAGAAAGAATTATCAGCATATAATCCCATATTCCATACAATCATCTTCTATTTATTTTGAATAGAATGTTTTATATATGAAAGGAATATCATGCACATTTTCTGTGAGGTTGTAAACTACTGTAAGACAGGAACCAGTTGGCCTGACAGCTTGTTTTAGATGCTAGATAGATAGCATTTTAGATGTTAGATAGATGGACCAAGAGACATAGATAACATATAAATATTGAATTTGTTTTTAACTAGAGATTTGATATAGAAAAGAATCTGTGTGCTATAAAGAATTCATCATATTTAAAGAACTGCTTCAGCTCCTCAGAGACTATTAATGGTGTTCAGTTCATGTTTTTGAGATTGCATTTGAAAATTGCTGATAATCTTTAACATCATCCAGTTTTGTCTCAAGGAGGAAAAATTGTGCAGTATTATGTTCGCTTAGTGAACAAAAGTTTGGACTGCCCACACTGCTGGTTGCTGTTTTAGGCACACGGCACGAAGTGGTAAATAAGAGTTGATTCTTCTCTCATGAAGTTTATATCCAGGTGGAGAGATACAGACTATAAGGAGGTAAACAACTAAAGACAGTGATTTTGGATTGTGATTAAAAGTAAATAGAATAGAATACCTACCTACATACATACATGAACAGGGTAACGCTGGTAGAGAATGGGGAAGAGCTGCTTCAGACTGGTACCAGGAAAGACCCTTCTGAGGTGGGATCATCTGAGCTGAGGCCTGGATGATGGAAAGGAGCCAACCTTACAAATACCGGAGGGAAGAGCATTCTAGGCAGATGCCCTGAAGCAGGCATGGGCCTTTTGTGTCTAAGGAACATTAGCAGTCACTGTGGCTGGCACATGGTGGTGTGTCTCCACTTCAGTTACATTATTAAATATTGGAAATTAGGAAACATAATACTTAAGATGTAAGAATTATATTTTGAGACATCAAAAACATGGTAGAGTAGGTTTCAGAAGAGAAGGCCAGAAATGTGTATTTTGGCAACTAAGCTTCTCTGGGCCTTTTTTTTTCACGTGGGGGTTAGCTCTTCATTAAAATTATATAGTCATTCTAAACTATTACGCACTTTCATACTCTCTGCACACCCAAGACCACAGATGTGATAATAAATTGGAACTGTCCTGGTGTTGTCTTTCCAGAAGCATGCCTCCATCCTTAAGTTGTAATTAGGAGCCAAATGAAATGCTTCCAATTCAGATCAAGAAGTGCTACTGTACTGTATTGTGATGTGAACTATAACAGGGAATGTTTAGTATTTTAAGCATTTTAAGTGTTGGAGAGACGGGGATGAGTAACCAGTCTGTTCTGTGAATTCTGGGAAAACCCAGGCCATAGTGAATGTGGTCTTGGGATGGTGGAGGCAGGAAAGAAAAAAAAAAAAAAAAAAAGGAAAAAAAAAAGATGATGTTGAAGATAAAACATAGGCCCCAAAAAAGTAGACCTAGGGTAGAAACATCAACTACCAAATTCTTTGTTCCTGTTATCTTTTGATAATAC